AAGGCCAGTCTGCAATACATATTGAGACCTTGTCGGGGAGATGGCTCAGTAGAATAAGTGTGAGGACAGCCTGAAAGAATGTGTGTGTCCAGGAAAGGTTAGTCAGGGCCAGGGTCATCTGTCCCTGGCCTGCTGCTGGGACAAAGTAAAAGCAGAGGGGCAAAGTCTCAGAGTCCTGCCGTTCTGAGCTGTGAGAGGGGCCTTGGCCAGCTGGTTAAAGATTGGCCAGGGGTGCGTGAGAAGCTCACTGGTCTGCAGAGGGTCAATCAAGTGGAGTGGTATCCGCTGGATAACCTGAGGGACACCCCAGCCTATGTTTGAACTTCCCCAGGGAGCTGGACCATGCTGGGTCTTGGGCTGACACACATGGCAGTGTCATTTATTTCATTTCATTTCTTTTTCATTTTAAAGCAAGGTCTTGCTGTGTTGCTCAAGCTGGCCTTGAACTCACAGCAACCCTCCTGCCTCAGCTTACCGAGCACTGGGGCAGTACTGGGGCTGTAGACGTGTGACCCGCCAGGTTCAACAACATGTATTTTCTATGTGCCACAGGAGTGCATAGGGGAGTCTCTCCACTCAGGAGCTCTCTGGAACAGGCCTCATGTCACTGTCACAATGGAGTTCTCAGGGCCAGGCCATGTCTGGGGCCGGGGATGACTGAGTGACAGGCTCTTTTCCCCTCCTGGATGGCAGTCCCTGGCAGGAGCATTTCTTCTGGAGACAGGGGCTCCCAGGCAGGACTGAGTCCTCCTCTGCTGTGGAGAGGACCCCAGTGCTGGGCTCACCTTATTCCCCCTCTGATGGGGTCCCCAGGACAGGGCTGTGCCCTGCTGCACTGGGGACTGGGCTGGCACTCTCCCAGCTGCCAGCTTTGCCTTTGCCTGGGGCTTGAGGACACTGATGGCCAGATCCTGAGGGACACTTCCTCCCCTGGCACCCAGCACAGACTTTACTCCTGACTTCACTTCTGGGATACATTCTTTTCTTCATAGCCACAACAGCTGAGATTACTTCCAGAATGGTGCGTAGTAATACCACCAGAAGAACTCTCTCTCTCTCTGTCTTTTTGAGATAGGGGGTCTGTCTCACTATGGAGTTCCGGCTGGCCTTGAGCTTCTTTTATAGCCCAGGCTGGCCTCAAACTCACAGTGATCCTCCTGCCTCAGCCTACCAAGTGCTGGATTACTGGCATTCATCACCATGCCTGGCTCTTTTTTAAAGTTACGTTTATTATTTTTTAATTTTAATTTTTGGTACTGGGAATCGAACTCACAACTTCACACTTGCCAGGCAGGTGCTGTGCCACTGAGTTATATCTCTGGCCCCAGAACTCTTTTTTTTAAAAAAAGAAACCATATATATATATATGTATGTTTTTAAATTTTTTCTCAGACAGAGTCTCATTGTGTAGTGCAGGCTGGCCTTGAGTTTACTATGTAGCCTGGGCCACTCTTGAACTCATGGCAATCCTCCTGCCTCAGCTTCCTAAATGCTGGGATTACAGGTGTGCGTCACCACGCCCAGGTAGGATCTCTCTCTCTCTCTCTCTCTCTCTCTCTCTCTCTCTCTCTCTCTCTCTCTCCCTCTCTCTTTGGAACTGGGGATTGAACTCAGACCCATGAACTTGCCAGGGAAGTACTTATTCTACTGAGCCATCTCCCCGGCCCCTAGGAACTCTCTTTTTTAAAAAAATGTTTTGGGAATTTAACCCAGGTCCTTTGCACTGAGCTAAATCTCTGGCCCTTCTTTATTTCAACAGGTTTTGCTAGGGCTCAAACTTGTCACCCTCCCGTCTCAGTCTTCCAGCCTGCTAGGCATGTGCCACCCCCCCCAGCTTGTTCTATGAGTTGTGACAAATGCGTGACCAATGGTGTCCCCATTATGGCACCAGGGTATAGTTGCACAACCCTAAACACCTCTCTGCCTTTCCTAGCCATCTGTCTGTTACCTTGAACTCCCAATCTTTCTTTTCTTGTTTCTTTTTCCCCTCTTTCTAGTGCTGGGGAATGAACCCGCGGCCCAGTCGTGTAGGCAAGCACAGCTCGTATCACCGAGCAACACCCCTAGTCCTCCCTGGCCTTTTTCTGTTTCTGTTGTTTTGCCTTGTCTAGAGTATCAGAGTAGAAATCACATGGCATGTCACATTTCGCTTAGCAATATACATCTAAAGTTCATCTCTTTAAAACACACACACACACACACACACACACACACACACACTTTATTGTGAGCTGGGCATGGTGGTGCATACCTGTGATCCCAGAACTCAGGAGGCTGAGGCAGAAGGATCAGTATGAGTTCAAGGGCAGTCTGCACTAAATATCGAGACCCTGTCCCTAAAAACAAGCAGACAAACAAACAAAAAATCATGTTAACCATGTGTGGTGGTGCATGCCTGTGATCCTAGCACTCAGGAAGCTGAGGCAGGAGGATCATGGTTAGTTTGAGGCCAACCTGGGCTGCAAAGTGAGCTCAAGACCAGGTTGGACTACTAGATTTTGCCTCAAAAACATACAAAACAAAACAAAAGAACCACAAAGGACTGTGACAAAATAGACATAAAACAACATTGGAACCATTTGAAGCTCACAGTTCTGGGGCTAAGTACATTTGTAATGTTACACAACCCTTTCTACTATCCATTCTCAGAACTCGGCATTCTGGTCAGAAACTGCACATTCATTAAACAATGCTCCCACCCTGCTCACCACCTCTTGGCTCCTGGCAGCCTCTCTTCTTTCTCTCTCCATTCCTCAAACCTCATGTAAGTGAAATCAGACCACACGTGTATTATTGGTTTTGCTACTGGCATTGCTTCACTTAGTAAGAGTACTTTGCAGTGTTTCTCCCTGAGGTAGCCTCTACTAGAACTCCCCTCCTTCCTGTGGTGGAACAATATTCTCAGTGTATATTTACCACATTTTAAAACAGCCAATAGCCGGGGAGATGGCTCAGTGGAATAAGCGCTTCCCTGGCAAGCGCAAGGGCCTGAGTTCGATCCCTGGTTCCAAAAAAAAAAAAAAAAAAAAAAAAAAAAAAACCAAAAAACCAGTCAGTAATCTAGGTGTGGTGATGTGTGCCTGTAATTACAGTACCCAGGAGGCTGAGGCAGGAGGTTTTCCATGAGTCTAAGGCCAGCCTGAGCTATACAGCGAGTTCAAGGCCAGCCTGAACTGCATACCAAGATCCTGTCTCAAAACCAAAACTAGAGTAACTTAACAATAACCAAAACAAATAAAAATAAAACATCTGCTCCTCTGGTGGTGGGCAGGAAGGCGTGTCTACCTGCAGCCTTGTGCGTAGGGTGCCTGCCGATACTTAAGAACGCAGCTGTTGAGTGTCTGTTTTAATCCTTTCAGATTCAGGCCTAGGAACAGTGTGCCAGGGCCCATGGTGGTCCTTGCTTCAGCTTCTTGAGGAGCCACCAGGTCTCTGTACACAGTGACTTTTCACATCCCCACTGGCAGGGGCACAGTCCTCCACCCACTCACACCTGGTGTTTTCCCACCTTGTGAAACACATAGCTGTCCTAGAGGCAGGGAGTGTGGTTCTGACTTGCACTTCCCTTGTGCTGACATTGGACATCTTTTCTAGTACTTATTGACCATTTGTGTAACTTTAAAAACATATTTAAAAAATACTTATTTGATACAGTGTCTCACTATACAGTTCAGACTTGTAGTGATCCTCCTGTTTCAGCCTCCCCAGCAATGGTATTATAAGCATGCACTACTATGCCCGGTTTTGGGGCCAGACAGTGCACCTGGGGCTCCCATGTTGGCACAGCATATGGTACTGGGGATTGAACTTGGGACCTTGTGCTTGCCAGGCAGGTGCTTAGACCGCCGAGCCATCTCCCCAACTTTTTTTTTTTTTAAATAAACCATACATGGACATTTTTGCATTGAGTTTTTTTTTCTTCTTGTTGAGTTGTGAATGTTCATTATACATTCTGGGTATTTTGTTTGCTTCTGTTTTTGAGACAGGGTCTTACTATGTAGTCCAAAGTGGCCTCAAATTTATGGTGACATTCCTGTCTCAGCCTCCTGGGTGCTGGGATTATTACCACGCCTGGCCTTCTGGGTATTCATCTATTGTCAGATAGATGTTTTGCAAATCCTTTCTCCACCCCGTGACCTGTACTTTCCATCTCTGAGGAGACCTGAACCATTTGCAGGTAACAAAGTGCTTCAGGAGCCTACTCTTTTTTTTTTTTTTTATAAATTCTTTTTTAAAAAAAATTTATTTATTTATGTGTGTGTGTGTGTGTGTGTGTGTGTGGCCAGCTCAGCCCACCAGGGGGCGGGGCTGGCTGGCATGTGGTGCTGGGGGATTGAACCGCGGTCCCTGTGCTTTGCTAAGCTTGTTCTAAGTAGGTGCTTTAGACTACTGAGCCATCTCACCAGTCCCAGCCTACTGACTCTTGGTTGTGGATGGGCACACGAAAGGCTGGTGAGAAGTCGCACATTCTGTCCTCTGGGATAGGGCAGGAAGCATCTTTAGTTGTCCGTCTGGATTTGATTTCCAAGGCTAAGTACTTGGACACTCTCTGTCCCCTCCAAGTGCTCAGACTTAGAACACACGGGCACAGAGGGAAGAGGGACATCAGATGAAGCCATCCATGCCAGCGAGGAGTCAGACCCAGGAAAAACCAGGGCTCCTTGAGGTGGGGATGGACCCTAGAAAGATTATGCAGGTTCTTTCCTTACTATTCTAATTTGAGAAAGGACAGGCGCAGACTGCAGATTGCGCGGTTCCATTTATATGCAAAGTACAGAGCAGACAGATCCCAGGAGACAGAAAACAAAATTGCGTGACTACACTAAAGGAGAGTAGTATGTAGCTCAGTAAAGCTTTCTTTGATTTTTTTTTTTTTTTTTTTTTTTTGAAACAGGATCTCGCTATGTAATTCAGGCCAGCCGTGAACTCAGCCTCCTCAGTAATAAGATTACTGCCACCCCTAGCTAAAATTTCTTTACAAAGAAAAAGAGATAATAAGATCCAGGCCCTGAGAGTGCCCATCCCTGCCTTGGCTGTGAGGGTGGGGAGCTTTATTTGGAGGAGCGCAGCCGTGCCTGGAAGTGGGGGCAGCGGGGTGGCTTCATGGTCAGCCCGTAGGTAGGGGTCATGTCCACCTTCATGCCGGGTGGCACACTGAATTCCAGCTGCTGCAACAGGATGGCCAGGAACAGGAAGACCTCCCATCTGCCCAGCGTCTCTCCAATGCACCGGCGCTTGCCCAGGCCGAACAGCAGCATCTTGTCGCTCAAGGTCTTGTTGATGGCAGTGTTGTTGGCCACCAGGAATCGCTCAGGGCGGAACTCGAAGGGTTCCTCCCACTGCTTCCTGAAGAGAGCAGAGGACCTGGTAGGTTGGGGGGGCCAGGAGGCCCAGGGAGGCTCCAGATTGGCTTGTCACAAACACAGGCGTCAAACAGAGTGAGAGCAAGGAAGGCTTACTTAGTGGACAGAAACCAAACGGGAAGCTTGGTGCCTTTCTTTTTCTGTCTGTCTGTCTGTCTGTCTGTCTGTCTGTCTGTCTGTCTGTCTGTCTGTCTTTCTGGGTCTCGCTATATATTTTAGGCTGACTTTGAACTCACTATATAGCCCATGCTGGCCTTGAACTCACACAAAGCAAAGATCAGCATTGAAGATAATGGTTTCTAATAGTAACTTGTTTTGTTGAAGAAATAATGCTTTATTCAAAGGAAACAGCCAGATGTGGTGGTACAGGGCTGTAATTCTAGTATTCAGGAGCTAGCCTGGGTTACAATGTGAGTTCAAGGCCAGCCAGGACTACATAGGGAGACTTTGTCTCAAAAAGCCAAGAAAGAAAAGAAAAGACACTGTGGCACTCCAGTAATCCCAGCAGCTCAGGAAGACATTGTGGGAATTTCAAGTTCAAGACCAGCTTAGACAATTTAGTGAGACTATTTCAAAATAAAATGAAGAAATCTGGGGATGCAGCTCAGTCTAAGACCCTGATTCCAACTTAGCACCACAAAAAGAAAGAAAAGAAAGAAAGAAAGAAAGAAAGAAAGAAAGAAAGAAAGAAAGAAAGAAAGAAGAAAGTTAATAGAAGGAAAGTAAAGCCAGGTAACAGGATCACCAAGAATTCAAGGCCAGCTTAGGCTACAAAGAAAAAGCCTGTCTCAAGAAAACCAATAATAATGATGATGATGATAGAAAAGAAAACATGTTCATTGTTGTCCTACTCAAAATATATTGGTAGCAGAGGGACTCACAGAAGGCCTTGATTTATGCTTTTTTTTTTTTTCCAGTATTGGAGATTGAACTCAGGACCTTGTGCATGCAAGTCAGAAGCTCATGCCTCTGAGCTGTTGCCTCAGCCCCTGATTTATGCTTAGTGTTTGAAATTATTCTTATTCTTATTCTTTAGAGTTTCACTATATAGTTCACACTGGCCTTAAAATCAATATGTGTCCTAGGCTGGCCTTAAGCTCACAGTAATCCTCCAGCCTCAGTCTCCTGAGTTCTGGGATCATAGGTGTGCTCCATCACACCTGGCTTTGAAATGATTATTGATAGCACAAATATGGGTAGCACGCTCATACTTAGAAGAGTGCCAGGGTGAATGGTACATTGTCACTCTCTTGCTGTAGACTATGGTGGGGTTTCCAAAGAGTGATCTCTGGGCCACTCCGGTCAGAACCCTAGAATACCCTCTTACCCACCAAAGTAGAAGTTGGGGTGGGGAAAACTCTGTAGCAGACTTCCTCGTCATTTCTTATGGGCACCAAAGAACTCACTGTTAGAAATTTTGTCCCTCAGCATAAGCTCTCCAGCAGTCAAAGGTCTACCCCTTGTATATACAGTTCCGGGAAACAAACAGCCCCCTGAACTGACTACAGAACCTGTAGCTGCCCCCGGGCCAGCGTACTCACGGGTCATGGTTGACCTGCCACTGGTTGATGAATATGCAGCGCTCCTTGGGGATGTAGAAGCCATTCAGTGTGGTGGCCTTGGTTGTGCTGAGGAGGGAAGAAGGGGCTCTTATGCTGGGACATCTTTCTCTTCCCCCTACCCCAACATCTGTCCCCCACCGTCTCCATGTCCTTCCATGGGAGGGAGTGTTAGGACTAGGGAGGAGAAGAGATTATCCTGCCTCTTCCTCCACTTCATCACTTCTCTTTGTGTTCAATTGCGTGCATGACACCAAGAAATAAACAGTGCGGGCAGGCCCTGGAGTTTCAAGGTTTTCTACTTTTTTGAAGGAGAGTAAGGTAGGTTCTCACTGTGTGATGTAGGTTGGCTTTGAACTCACTTATGTAACCCAGGATGGTCTCAGACTCACAGTGATCCTCTTGCCTAGCTTCCAGAGTTCTGGATTATAGGTGTGTTATACCACACCCAGCCTTTTTCCCTTTTTTTTCTTTTCTTTTGTACCAGGAATCAACTCAAGAATCTTGTGCTTGTTAGGCAGGTGTTCGTGCTGCTGAACTATAGCTCCAGCCCCGACTTCTTAAAGTAGGATTTTGTTAAATTGCCCAGGCTGGGCTGAACCTTGTGATCCTCCTGTCTCAGCTTCCTAGAGTGCTGGGATTGCAGGTATGTGCCATCATGGCTGCTTTGTTTCAAGCCTCTTGCTCCAGGAATAACTGGACCAACATGAAGGAGGAAGCAGACATCAGCCTTGGGTCAGGGTTGACCCTGCATAAGGGCAGGGGATGTGGGTAGAAATCTGTCTGGGCAGCAGTTCCAGCATGAGCTGGATTGGAGGGTTGGTGGGGCAGCCCAGCTACAGCAGAAGGCATGTGTGACTGCTGAGGTCACAAGGGTGACCTTCTCTTGGGATGGATCATGAATGGCCAGAACAGGGGCTCCACAGGAAGCTGGTGTCATGGCTGGGGAGGAGACCCCATGAAGGGGCCAGCAGAGGCACGGGGAAGGTGAGGAAGGCATATGGTGGGCTCACCTGTGCGGGATGGTGAAGGGCACGAAGGAGGAGTGTCGGAAGACCTCTAGGATAAAGGCTTCCATATAGGGCAGCTGAGGTCGGTCTGCCAGTTGGGGCCGCCGGTGCCGGCCAATCACGGTATCTGCAGAAATGGGGCCAGGCAGAGGTCAGGGGCTGCGCTGACTACCACACAGCATCTGTGTCCCTCGTCGTACCATTTGCCACCATGTGGGACTACCATCTCCTTATATGTTTGAGACTCTACAAACCTACCCAACACTTTCTGGGAGTGGGGCTTGCACATAGTAGGGACATAATAGGTATCTTTATTTTTAGATAGGGTCTTGCTCTATGTAGCCCTGGCTGGCCTGGAACTTGTGGCAATCCTCCTGCCTCAGCTTCCAAGTGCTGACGTGCACCACCATGCCTGGCTCTAACTGATATTTTAGGTTGAGCAAAGGACCTGAGATGCAAGGTATCTCCTGTGAATAGGGCAGGGCACCACGTACCCAGCTCCTTCTGGATCTTCTTCTGTATCTCCGGCTTGGTCACAAGGTACGTGAGGCTCCAGGTGAGGGCGGTGGTGACCGTGTCAAAGCCTGGGCAGCCCCAAGTGAGGGGTTGGAGAAGACAGGAGCAAGGAAACCATTATTCCCCAGCCCCTACCAGAAGTGGAATGGGCATTGTCTTTCTTGAGGGCAGGGGTTGAATCTCCTGGGCATTGGCTTGAGCTATGCATCAGAGGACTTGTTATCATTCAGACAGGGAAACTGAGGTCTAGGAAAGCAGTGGGTACTCTATTGAGTCTCCTCTGGGAGTGGATAGGACTGCTTGGGCTCCCATCCCTGATCGCAGGTGGGGTCTCTGTCCCAGAGCAGAAGGCCTATACTTGGCAGGCATGTGACTGGGTGTGGACTGGCTCTGGCTCCTACCTGCTCCAAAGATGTCATTGACCAGGTTGACAATCTTCTTCTGGGGGATGCAGTTGCCATTCACCTGGGGGCTCTCCTCACTGTGCTTGAGCAGGGCGCTTGTAATGTCCTGGACCCTGTTCTGAGGGGATACAGGCTTGGAGACAGTTCTACAATAGAGGCTGGACCCAGCCTCAGCCTCCTAGGTGAGTCCCTGTGGGCTAGACAGGGTGCATGGCAGGAACGAGGCCACCCTGGATGTACTTCAGGTGTTATGACCAATGCCCCTTTGATTCTTCTTCTCGATGACCCTATGGGTCTAGGTCAAAGGAGGAAGGGGCTGGTGTAAACATGGGGAAGTGAAGTGACACAGAACTGGGGATTAGCAGCTTTTGGGGTTCAGGTTCCTGCAGAACAAAAGCCTTCTCACTCCTAATAATGGCCTCTCGCATTGCAGGGCCCCATCAGCATGCCTTTCACAGGCTTCTCTTCCCAGGGCTTTGAAGGGCCCCAAAAGGGTGGCTGTAAAGATAAGGAAACAGAGGCCCAGAGTGGAGAGGGATGACCCCTGGTCACACACTGCTCCTAACTGTCCCCAAGCCCCCTCTCAGGCTTTTGCAGCACCCCCACTCCATGGTCACCTGGGACAGAAGCATCCCACATACCTTGTCGAAGTCCTGGTAGTGCTCCTGGACTGTCTTCTGCAGGAACTGCAGGAACCGCTCGTTGAAGCTCTTGAACCGTTGCAGTGCAGGGTTGGGCAGGTAGCGGAGGATAGGGAAGAAGTCCACAGGGTTGGCAGCGGAGGCGGACTCCACAAAGTCATTGCTGGTTGTCAAAATACTGAACATCTCGCTGGTCTGTGGGAAGTTCTTCCCAAAGCACATGGCACCAATGACATTGGCCACCGAGCTAACCATCTGGCTGAAGGGATCAAAGCCCCCAGACCCCGCCATGACATCCAGTAGCTTGGTCACAAGACGTTCGGCCTCCCTGCTTGCATGCTCCTCTAAGTAGCAGGAGGACACAGAAGCTGGGTCTGAGGCCAAAGAGAAACTCTTCAGGGCGTCCAGTGCCAGGCGCCTGCGGGCAGCCCACACGGGGCCCGAATCTGGGTTGAATGCCATGCTCTGGCCTTCAGTGATCAGGGTGAAGCTGTAGAGGTCAGGCCGGCCCTTGAAGTCATCGCCCTGGCGCACCAAGGCCTGGCGGATGATGTCCAGGCTGCTCAGCACCACCACAGGAGTGGAACCTATGCGAATCTGGAGCACATCCCCATAGCGTGCACTCAGCCTGGCCAGTGTCAGGTGTGGATTCTTGCCCAGGGTCAGCACATGCCCAATCAGAGGCCACCCCCAGGGCCCTGGGGGGCTCTTCAGGCCTTTGGGGACCCGAGAGCTAGAGGCTCTGACCACCCAGAGTACCAAGCAGAAGATGGTGGCAGCCAGGAGCAGCTCCGTGGAAGAGAAGGGAAGAACTTGGGACAATGGCATTGTCACTGACTGCAAAGGAAAAGGAAGGAGGGGACAGGTTGAGGATGGAGATGGCACTGTCTGTTCTTTCAGTCAGTCAGGTAGTTGCCTGTTCTGTAAGCATGGATGGGTTGGCTTGCAGCTGGATGCCAGAAGTCTAAGATACATCATCCTAGTCCTGCTCCCCAGGGTGCCCTTAGCACACTGCAGAGCCCGAGGCTGGAAAGGAGCCCAGGATCTCCAGCTCAAGTGTTTGAATTCCCATCCCTGCCTCTCCCCCATTTCTAATTCTGGAGCTGTAGTGGAGGTAGGGACTCCTCCAACACAGGGACACCAAGGACAGTCCCCCCCATCCTGGGCACCCCTGGCACAGGGTATGTGCTGTGTATTAGGTCAAAGCTCCTGACCAAAGTGGGCTTCCTGTCAATTCCCTCTCCATATGCAGGCAACTGGAAGCCCTCCCCTGCCCCAGCATAGAGGAGGCCACAGTCCCAGGAACCACGTAGATGGCCCATCCGTATAGCACACTTCATCAGCAGCAAGAAAAGCAGCAGCTCCTTCAAGGACAGCTCCTGACCCTCCCAGTCTTGGAGGCTGAGGTTGCTCCAGCCAGGCCAGGGCTAGCCTACCTCCCCATCTCTCTGTCCACTAAGAATCCTTAGAGATCACCCAGTTTAAGCCACTCACTTAAAAATGGGGAAATAGGCCAGAGCTGATCAGTAGGGCCCAGGACTCAGGCTTCCTATCTCTACCCATGGTTCCCATTCCACCATCTCTGTCAGTCCCCAGAATCCATGGTGAGGGGCCCAGGACTGGAAAACAGGCCCAGGAAAGTACCTGTGGATGCAGGTCTGGAAATTAACAGGGCTGTGGGGACCCATCTGGGGTTCTTGCTGCAGACGAGGCACCTTTTATGAACCCCACTCCCATCCAATCAGCCCAGCTGGCTGGTTACCTGATATCACAATCGGATCACTGAACAAAGTCAGAAGGATTGATCCTTGGCTCTAGGCCATGGCCATGCAGGTCCACCTCCTCTCAGAGCTCAGGGACAACTCTCTGGGGACAGCCCAGATGAATGTTCAGTTCTTTTCAGGGTCCAGGTTAAGGAGTTTCTTTCTCTCAAGAACAGGCAAGAGAGTGTGTGAAAATTAAGTCTTGGACGGCTCCCCTCCCTGCCTCTGGGCACTTAGTTTGGGCCAGGCAGGAAGTGGACATGGCCCAGCTGTCTCTGAAGCCCAGCCCAACTTCTCATTTGAAAACAGGAGATAATGAGAATCTTACATTCTAAAGAGAGGCTTTATTAATCTTTTTTTTTTAAAGTATCATTCTACAGTTTTATTTACACAACCAGTGAAGGGCATATTCTAGAATACCAGTTTATAATATTTTTTAAACATATTAATATAAGAAGCCAAATTGCAATGATTAATCAAAATGAGGCCACTGGTATTAGTACAGGTAGCAAAGGTCGCATCCAGGTTGTACTGACATCAGAGAAATTTCCGAAATCAGTTGCTGGTGCCTGAGAGTGGTTGTCACTGATGAAAGCTTGAAATAACCTGTATTTGGTCGTGCTTTACCTTGGTCTTAACCATCCAGTAGAAAAGTATGAAGACGAAATATAGGAAGTAAAGCCATGTTGTTATGTTGAACTGTGGGGGACTCAGGTCAATAATTTCTGACCTTGCCAGTTAAACAGAAGACCCAATGCTATCATGGGCTACTGGACTCTTTTAGAATATTTTGCTGAGTTTACACACCTATAACATTCAATAATGGAACTTAGAACAAATGGGGTATACCGATGAATGTCCATTTTGTATCTGTGTATTCAAAGTGGTTAGGATATATAGTTGCATTCTCTTAATGAATAGAATGATTTGTTCTAATGGTGTTTGTAAATAGGATCTCAAGTCTGCATCTTGTACAGCAATTAACCACTAAGAAGAATATATGCAGTGTATTATTTGTTGAAACTGTACTTCGATTTGATTTGAAACTGTCTCATTGTTATCTGTTTATCAATAAAATTTTGGAAAAAAAGAAAAAATTGTAGACAAACATTGAAATGTAAAAGATACGATGTAAACAGAGTGAATTTTAGAAAAAAAAAAAGAAATAACCTGTATTCAGGGGGGATATTGGCATGGCTGAAGTGTGAGCAGCACACCCTTCCCCACCCTCCTATGTAAGAGATGGTAAGGAGTTAAAAAGTGAATGAAAAGTCCTTGCTCTTCGTCTCTTGCTCAGGCTCTTCAAAGTGGTCAACTTTGAGAGACCAGGGCCTATTATAGAGTCAAGAGGCTACAGGGTTCCTATCAACCAAACACAGAGTGTGAACTTTTTCTTTTTCTTTTTTTTTTTGGCAGAACTGGGGATTGAACTCAGGCCTTTGTGCTTGCCAGGCAAGCACTTACTCTACTGAGCTATCTCCCGAGTCTCTAAAGTGTGAACTTGATTGAATCTTGGATTTAACAAACAATTGGTTTTGAAGTCATGGAAGATATTTTAGGGACCCTTCAGAACATAGAAACATGGAATAGGAATTCAATTATTTTCTGGAGTGAATGATAGTTTTCTTTTTTTAAAAAAATGTGTTTGGTTGTTACAAGATCTCATTACACAGCTTGGACCAGTGGTGATCCTCCTGTTTTTAGCCTCCCCAGGACTGGAATTACAGGCATGCACTACCACTCAGGCATGTGGTACTGGGGATTGAACCTTGGTCCCTGCACTTGCCTAAGCAAGTGCTTAGTCTGCTGAGCTATCTTGCCAGCCCACACCTTCTCATTTGAACATGTTAGGAAAGAATATTTTCTTTTACATGTTTTTTGAGTGGTGCATAGTGGTCTATATCTGTAATCCCAGCACTTGGGAAGATGAGGCAGGAGGATCACTGAATTTGAGGTCATACATAGTGAGTTTAAGGACTACCTGAACTACTTAGTGAGACAGACCCTGTCTCAAAACAACAACAATGGACTGAGAATTGGGGTGAGGGAGGGAGGGAGGGAGA